GGCTGCACCTAGGGATTGGGCCTGCCCTCTGCCACCCGGGAGCGGGCCTAAGCCAGCAGATCATTATCTCCCGAGGGGTCCCAGACTGCGAGAGGGCACAGGCCTGGCTGAGGGACCCCCTTCCCCCGAGTACACAAATTTTTGTGCACCGGGCCTCTAGTCTGGTCATAAATATGAATGAATAATGAATATATCTAAATTAGATCTGTCCTAAACCAACACTTTCTCCTTAAGTTAATTGGAAACACGAGTGTTCTCTGAAGACATATGATCTGAGGTTCCTCCAGGGCAAAACCACCCTTTTGAGGCTGAGTCAATACTAGTCTGCTTAGGAATCTTTTAGGAATTGGAGACCAAGGCAGATGTGCCTGGGGCATTTGGGCATTTTTCCACCCACCAAGCTAGGAAGTACTTATGCTTAACCAGATGGTCTTTGAGCTGATGCAATTGTGTTCCAGAGGTTATAAGAGAAAAAGTTGATGGCAATCGTATCTGAAAGAGCCAATGCCTTGTTTCTGTTTATGTGGGAAGGGTTTTCACAACAATCCGCCTTCTCAAGAAGTGTACACACAGTTTGCCTGACCAGGCCCCAGTGGGAGACAGAGCATGAGCCCTGGTCAAGCGGAAAACACGTTTGCACTCTGAGAGACTAACCACCATCAGCACACTGGTCAGGGTGCTCGGAAAACAACAAACATACCATGCTTTACAAGAAAGAAGGAGAAACCCTGAGTCCTGGTGAGAGTTTTCAAGTGGATCCCAAGACTAAATGGAATGAATGTTGCATTTCTTCATCCAAATGCAGTAAAGGGACAGGATGGAACATTCCAACAGGCCCAGCAAGGATACTGAACTTTTCAGTTTGACAAAGGGTAGTGTAAATGCATCGGCTAAGTAGGGACAGAAGTTAAAAACAGTGTACTTACTATCAAATGATTGCTTCCTCTATTTCCGATTCCTTGCAGCACTCACATTTGTTTAGCTCAGTTGCCAGAAAGGAAGTCAGCAACAGATTTTAGGACCCAAATCCATCCCATCCACTACATCTGAGTTCCCCGAGAATCCTGGGGAAGACTGGGATGATCTGTTAGGGCAAAGCATGGCAACTCCAAGAGAAAAGAGGGGCCAAGAGAGCATTTTAATAATAAATTATTTTCCTGCCTTCATTCCTAAGAGCATACAGAGACTTCTGCTTTCCTGGTAAGATCACAAAAACAAAGTGTGTTAACTCCAAACTCTTAGGCATTGATTCTTCAGGGAAGGTTACAAACTACAACTCTTCCCTGCCCCATTTCATTCTGCATGAGGCATTTAAAACAAGGCCATTCAAAATGCTCCTCCAACTAGCTTCCTTTCTGAACATGGACTTTACAGTCAGCAAGTCTTCCCTTGCAGTTAAGTTTAGCAGATGTCTTATCTTGCTAAAACAAATCATGTACCCTGAACTTCATGTAAAGGGATAATTTCACAAAAGTCTTAACCCATTTAGGACATATAAATTATGGCCCTAGGTTATTCAAAAGTCAGACTCTGTATATGTCTCCTCATACAAAGCAGGGCCTAAATTGATGGGGCTCTAAAAATGAGTTTCTTACCTGGGCATTCACCAGGATTTTGAAGCAGCCAAGAAATAGGAACTGGAAAGAGTCAGGCAGACACCCTCTCTGGAAGCTCTCAGCCCATCTGTAACATCCTTCACAAGGGCAGACATGAAATCTTTCTTCAACAAAGTCCCTTTGCGACCATACGGAGCAGGTACATATTCAAACATACTCAAGATTATATATATACTAGAGGCCCAGTGCACAAATTTGTGCATGAGTGGGGTCCGTCGGCCTGGCGGGTAATAGGGGCCACAGGAGGTTGGCGGGAGTCGAGGGGCTGCAGGAGGTTGGCTGGCCTGGGGAGCTATGTGAGGTTGGCAAGCCGTGGGGAGAGGCCACAGAAGGTTGGCTGTGGGAGTGCACTGACCTTTTATATATAATAGCTTTTCCCTTTCCTTGTAACCTGACTTGATCTCTATTTTGAACTTGCATTTCCCTTTGCAATGGATGTTAAAATGGCCCTAAATTCTTTGTAGTTCTTCAAATCAACAGGTGAAATCTATTTCCCACCTTTTGAATCTGGACTGACCCTGTGACTTGCTTTGACCAACAGAATACACTAGAAGAGCCATATGACTTCTGAGCCCAGCCTCAAAAGGCCTCACAACTTTTGTTCTTAATGCTCTTGGAAAGCATCTACATTGTGTGAAGAAAACTGGGATGAAAGGCTTGTGGAGAGAGGCCCAGCCATCCCGTCTAAGGCACCAGGCATGTGAGTGAGGCCATCTTGGATGGTCCACCCCAGGCAATCCCCAGATAGCTGCAGCTGCCCAAACCCTGAAGAGCCACTCCAGCCCACTGCCAACCCACAGAAACTATAAGCAAACGAAAGATGGTCATAGTGTATGGTAGTGCAATAAAGGATGGAAGGAAACCCTGTTGGGATACTATACATTGGCAATAGCACTTCATAAGGAGACCAGAATCCAGGTTCTAGTTCCAACTCTTCAGTGATCCTTAACAAGGATCTTACCTCTCTAGGGCTCAGCTTACTTATTTTCATTGCTATACCCCTGCCCTGCAAACCTCCCAGGGATATACTGCAACTCAAATGATGTAAAGTGTGTGGCAGTCCTTGGGGTGCAGTGAAGCACTCTAACATGGTTATCACCCATGTGACCTCATCATCTGGTCAGGTCCTGGATAGATGTTAAGTAGGGTTTTCAGGTCAATATAAGTTCAAAAGATACTCCCAAGGTCATCAGTAAAGTTTGTCTAGTCTTAGTTGACAGCTTTTTAAACCATCACTTCCTGTCAACACCAAGAGGAAGTTGTGCTCTGCAGTGACTGCTTCAGTCCGTCCATTTCATACAGGCATCTGGGAAAAATCTCTCTCTCCTGAACCTGAAAAAAAATACACTATTACTTATTCATTTATGAGATTGCTTTTGACTGGTGAAACCGCATGGGCTAGTCACAACAAAGGTCCTTTTTAAAAATACAAAACGTGCAAAAGCTCTCCCCATTAGCTGTTGGTTTCACTTTAGAAGCAATTGTCAGGACTCAGGCAGCAAGTTGTTTGGGGGCCCTCCTGACAAGATGTACATGTGATCCACAGAAGGAAGAGAGAAATCTCATCTTTGCATATTAATTAAGAAGGACAGATGGCCCTGGGATTATTCAACCATATGTAGGTCAAGACTAAATGAATTAATAAGCAACTTAGGTCTCAGCTGCCTCTAAGAGCTTATGGGGCATCTATGAACAAACAATTGCCATAGTATCCTGGGAAACAAGAGATGGGAGCAGGAGAGAGATTAAATTTCCTCACTGCACACTCAGTTCCACAGCCTGGGAAGGAATATCTCCATCTCTCTGCCACACACTGTCTTCTATATTGTATTTGGGATGTTAAAATTGAGTCAGTCTGACTCAATGGTTGAGTGTCGACCTATGAACCAGGAGGTCATGGTTCGATTCCTGGTCAGGATCGGTGCAGGAGGCAGCTAATCAATGATTCTCATCATTGATGTTTCTATCTCTCCCTCTTTAAAATAAATAAAAACATTTTCTAAAAAAATGAGTCAAAGTTATCTTAGTTTCCTGCATATAAATTGTGTAACTGCAATTCATAGGGTCTCTCTCTTTTTTTAGGTTAAGCTTTCCTAACATTGATCATGTTAGGGCTGAAAGCAAAGGGAACAGCCATAAGGAGAAATGTAACAAGACAGGTAACACATGCTGGGTACCAAAGAAGGGGTTGGGCAACAAGTTCTGAAAGGCCTCCCAGGAGTAGGGGTTGCCGGAGGCAGAGCTTGAGCTGGACCTGGAAAGGCAAATAGCAACACTTAAAAGGAGAAGAGGACCAGGAAAACCATGAGCAAAAGGCAGCAGCAAGCTGTGCAAGGCAAGTAAGGGATGGGAATCCAGCCAGTATGACCAGATGACGGCAAGGAATTAGATCAGTCGGTACAGGTGATTATCAGCAAGACAGCCCTGGACAGCTGCAATGCTGACACCTTACAGGAGGAACCAGTCTTTCCTCTTCCAGCATTCCAAGCCACAAGATGAGTAACCAAAGAATAGAAACTAAAAACCCTCCAGGAGTTTGTACTGTGCTAGGAAGGTAGTTTCCTCCCTCCTCTCTGCTCTCTCCACCCTTCCTGTACCAGTTACTGGCCCTCCCCAGCTTCTCTCTCCCTCCCTCTTACCGGGCTGACCTCTCTGTAGACCTGACTGGTTTTCCCTCTTCATCTCTTCTTCTAAATGGCAAGCCATTTGCATCTAAGGAGAGGCCTACATTTGTTCAACTATCTCTGGATGGGCAAGTTTAATTTTCTGAGCAAAGGGTGAGTGTTACAGCCAGTAGTCAGATCCAGTGCTACTGGTATTAACACGCATTTTGCCCCTTCTGCTTCCTGGGTAGATGCGAGCTGGTCTGGAACACTGAAGGGAAAGAAAGGAGCACAACTCTCATCTCCTTAAAAACCAAACACTGAGCTGCTATGATTTGTCTTTACAGCAAAACCAAAGGGATGTTAAGATGAATCAACAGGAATACATCTTCATTTCTCAGTCTTGTGAAGAAGTTTAGGAACTTTTTTTTAAAAAGTCTTTTTAAAAATATACTATAGCACAAAATTCAAAAGGAATAGGGCAAAAAGTCTTCCTTGCACCTAACCCTCCAGTTAGCCAGTACTCCCCATGGGCAACATTATCACTTTATTATTTATCCTTCTAGGGTTATTTTATTTGTATACAAGCAGGTATGTGTATTTTTTAACCAAAAGGTAGAATCCTAGACATGATGCTGTGTTCCTTGCATTTTTCCTGTAACATAGCTTGGAGATTTCTTTCTTTTTTAAAAAAATGTATTTTATTGATTTTTTACAGAGAGGAAGAGAGAGGGATAGAGAGTTAGAAACATCTATGAGAGAGAAACATTGATCAGCTGCCTCCTGCACACCCCCGACTGGGGATGTCCCACAACCAAGGTACATGCCCTTGACCGGAACCGAACCTGGGACCTTTGAGTCCGCAGGCCGACCCCATATCCACTGAGCCAAACCATTCAGTGGATATTATTTCTTAATAGCCCATTATTCCATATCAACTGTTAAGTTGCCACATTTCATAGAATCCCATTTTATAGTCATACTAGAGGCCCGGTGCATGAAATTTGTGCAGGGGGGGGGGTTGTCCCTCAGCCCGGCCTACACCCTCTTGCAGTCCAGGACTGCTGGCTCCTAACCGCCTGCCTCCTGCCTGCCTGATCGCCCCTAACTGCCTCATTGCCCCTAACCACTCACCTACTTGCTTGATCACCCCTAAATGCCTCTGCCTAACTGCCTCATTGCCCCTAACCACTCACCTACCTGCCTGTGATCGCCCCTAACCACCCCTGCCTTGGTCCCCACCGCATCAGCTTCATCTGGAAGGATGTCCGGAATGACATCCGGAAGGTCATTCAGCTGTCCGGTCTAATTAGCATATTGCGCTTTTATTATTATGGACTCTTAACAATCAGTCTCTTATGGATAGTCAAGTTGTTCCTAATCACAGGTTATTAAAAAATGCTTCCATGACTATGCTAGTATGTACATCTTTGCACACATGTACCGACTATATTGGTAGGGTTAATTCTTGGAAGTGGAATTGCTAGGTCGAATGATAAATGCACTTCAAATTTTGAAAGTTTTCTAAATTTTCAATCATATAACTTTTGTACCAATTTATACTCCCAAGAACAATGGCTAACATTTTTCAAAATATTGTTCTCTGTGACTCTCCGATCCCTTCCTAAATGCAAGGACTCTAGTAGTAAATCTGAATTTTAAGGTAGCTAATGAAGTAATAAAAAAGGTCAGGTGACACCAGGTACTGTTTTAAGCGTATATGCCCTGTTTACCAGGCATGACTTTTGCAATCCCACAGCCCTCCCAGCTTCTGCTGCAGGCATGGCTGCTATATTCATCTGCTGGCTCAATAAGTCCACACAGTAAGCAGAAATATTATATGAGGTAAAGAAATTGCCATACTCAATGTCTTGAATTCTCTTAGAGCTTTAAAATAATTATAAGGGAAACAAACACAGGTGGCGGCTGACCTAGTTAACTCTCTGGTATCACTTTGGAGCTACTTAAAATAAAAGTCCCGTGGAACACAAGGAAGGACATTCATAAAGTCCATGCTATTTATGGTGCATATAAAATCATTATCCCAACATAAAAGCAATTTTTTTTAGTAACTTTGAAATCTGAGATGTTTTAATTGCATGGTCGACTAGAATCAATTTAAGTTAAAGCATATCCATGCTTGCTTCTCATTTTTATTTACATGTTGCCTTGCCATCCTTCACAATGTTCTCCCAAATAAAGTCCTTTCCCATGCCATGCCATCGTGTAACAGAGCTTCTTACTTTGGTTCAAGCCTCATGTTCTAAAATTATCCCATCTCCCCAAATAAGGTTCGTTTTTAAATTTTTTATTGATTTCAGAGATGAAGGGAGAAAGAGAAACATCAGTGATGAGAGAATCATTGATCAGCTACCTCCTGCATGCCCCCCACTGGGGAAAGAGCCACAACCTGGGCATGTGCCCCTGACTGGAGTCAAACCCAGGATCCTTTAGTCCACAGGCTGAAGCTCTACCTACTGAGCCAAACCAGTTAGGGCAGTTCATTCTTCTCTAAACCTAATTTTTCATGAATTACTTTTCAGCTGAGGCGCTATTATTTCCCCCTCCTATAAGTACTTAAGATTTTCCTTTTCCTTTTAATCCTCACCCGAGGATATGTTCTTATTGATTTTAGAGAAAGGAAGGGAGAGAGAGAAAAATGTCGATGTGGGAAACATTGATAGGTGGCCTCTCGTATTCACCCCGACCGGGGATCGAACCAGCAACCTAGGTATGGGACCCGAGTGAGAATAGAACCCATGACCTTTTGGTATATGGAACAATGCTCCAACCAACTGAGCCTCCCAGCCAGGAATATACTTAAGATTTTTTTAAAAAATATATTTTACTGATTTTTTACAGAGAGGAAGGGAGAGGGATAGAGAGCTAGAAACATCGATGAGAGAGAAACATCGATCAGCTGCCTCCTGCCTACCTCCCACTGGGTACGTGCCCACAACCAAGGTACATGCCCTTGACCAGAACCAAACCTGGGACCCCTCAGTCCACTAGCCGACGCTCTGTCCACTGAGCCAAACCGGTTAGGAAATACTTAAGATTTTTAATAGCAAAAACAGATTAGTGCCAGATAGTAATTTACATGTATTTTCATTTATATATTGGAGTAGAAAAAATAAAAAATAAACATTGGAATAGAATAAGGGCCCTTAGATTAACCTAGTTTTCCCAGTTAGGGCACGTTAACTCAGAATCAGAATTTGGATGCAGAGCTACTTAACTCCAAGTCTACAGTTTCCTCCCTCCCATTAGTCTTTTTGCTTGAAAACCCCCTAAAATACTTATCATACACTTTGTATCCTTCATGTTTTGACATTTAATAGTTGCAAAGGTTATAATTTTTAGCATACAATAAACACACCTACAAATAAAAGTATAAACATCACTTTTTAAGTGAGTCCAGTAAAATCCAGATATAACTTTTAAATCAATGTTTTAAAATGTATGAGCAAGCTCTTCTTTAACATTTAGAAAACTTACACCTTTCCCTTTTCTCCTTGAACTTGTACTTCCATTCCATTTTCTCCAGGTTTTAGTTCTAATACATTTTAATGTTTGAAAGTCTTATTGACCACCAGATATAGATATGTATCTGCAACAAAAATAAGTATATAATTTAAATTTTATTTACTTTCCTCTGACCATAAGTAATTTTAATTAATAAAAATTGTCCTCTACATTATTATAATTAATACATAATTGATCAAGACAACATGTATGCACATTTTGATCATTACTTAGAGTCCCAAAGGGACTTGGTGGTGATTCAGGGGAGGTTTCTCCCATCTTAGGGCTCTGCTCTCTTCAGCATGTGGCTCCCACACACCCCAAAATAGAGACAATGAGCAAGGATGTGGCACATGGGCAGGTCTGGAAGTGGTGCCCCTTACTTCCTCTC